GTATTGGTGTTTCCGGCGGCCAAATCGTCGGTTGGCCGCTGAATTTGAAAAAAAAAAATGACAGCTGCCTCTCTATTTTATTGATTTTCACCCTAAACTCTAAATCTGCACAGAAAATACAACAATTATCACAAATATGGACAACACGACACTATAATCAATCACAACAATTATCACAAATATATTCATCAAAATAAATAAACACATAATAAGTTCATAACCAAATAAATAAAGTCATTGCTTTACCACAACAAGTTCATCAAACTAAATGTTTAAACCAAATAAGTTTACACATAAGTTCATCAAACAAATAAGAGTACTAATCCTCCTTTGTGTCCTCGCTGTCTGGTGATGTATGTGGCTGCTCTTGTTCTTGCACTTTCTTCTTTTGATTTTCATCTCTATAGGATCACAGCTATGCCTGCATCTCATTTTGAACCTTTCTCATCTCTTATATCTCTCTCGTCAACGCTGCAACCACACTTTTTTCAGCTCCACTAGGATCATAAAATGCTGAGGTGGATGCACTGCCTTCATAAGTATAGCCTTGCGAACCAAAGTCATAAACCTCCCCCTCTGCCTTCCTCCAACAAGATCTGACCATGTATGATACTCATAATTCCGGGACAAGTTATTTTTTATAATGACCATAAAAAGAGAGAAGGCTTATTCAAATATGGCCTAATGATTGATTAGATATTTAATTAGTTGGAGACATACATGAAAAGGGAATGTAAATATATATATATATATGTAAGATAAAGTAGCTTTTTTTTCACTAATGAATCTTTTAACTATAATGGATGATCTATAAATGATGTATTATATATCCATAAGGTAAGACAAATAATTAATTTGGAGAGGCTGATGAGGAATATATATGTATGATAAATTTATAAAAAATCTCTCACCAACTCCATATAACAATGTAGGATAAATAATTACCTAAAAAAATGTAATGCAAATGTAACCTAAATTTCATTTCCAATGCTAACTTATCCAAATTAATATTTAAAACATGTTATTTGCATAAAAAATAACATAAATATTAAATATATAAATAAAAATTTGATGTTATGACATAAATATCTCTTTTTATTTTTTAAATATTTTTAGTGAATGTTCAAGTCTAAAAGATTAGTTTCTTGTACTTTAGATAAACTACTTTCAACATAAATTATTTATTTAGGCTTTATTTGAGATGGTTTTTTTATTATTTCTTAAATCAATTTTCTAATACGAAAAATTCTAGTTAAAAAAAATAAGATAGTTGTCCCAAACGAAGCCTTACTACTTTCTGAAGCAGATTTTTAGTATAACATTTTTTAGTTTCAAAGATTTTGGTACTAAAAAGATGATTTAGAAAGCAGTAAGAAAGCCGTCCCAAACGAATCCTTAATTAAATATCTAAAAGAAAAAAAAAAAGACAAAGAAAGCTTTAATGAGTATTATTTATTGAATATTTACTCTACCTTTAATTTAGAAACTATATATTAAAGAAATATTATCTTTGCATTTAAGATTTCTTGTTATGTCAACAGCTACCAACCAAGAAAAAGACATTTAAATTTATAAAATTATTTTTTTTCAATTAATAATGCTTTAATTTTGTTGATTGCACATTTACTACTGTCACATGCTCTCAAAGACTATAGTCAAATTCAATAATGATCCAACTAATCGGTGGGCCGGCCCGACCCAACAAAAGATTGGGTCATTGGACTTAGCCTTATCTTGTTTCCCTTTAGGGAGTTCAATGTAGTTGAAAATAATTATTATAAGATTTTGGAGATGAAATTTACATTGAAGTAAATTCTATTGTCCTTTGTTTATTTTATTATAGAAATTCACTTCTTATGAAATCAAAATTTATGTTTATTTTGGATAATAAAAATTATTTTATTCATTTTATATTAATTTTAAAATATTATATTGTACTTGAAATTCTATTTTCATATTTTTAAATAAGAGTTAAAAAAAAAATTATTCCATTTATATTATAATTTTGATTAAATAAGTAATTGAATTCAATTTTAAAAGTAAATTACAATAATTAGATATTTATTTTAAAACAAAGTAACCCTCAAAGCTTTCAAACTTCAGCTATGAATTGGATTCACTTCATTTCAGCATTATCTTTTAGTCATAAATCGTAGCCGTTGAATTCTACATTATTTTTTAAGAAAGATTGAGCTAAAATATTCTGAGTACTTTTATAATTATTAAATTTATTTTGGGATAAATATATATTATAAATTTTATTTATATTCTATTTACTTTATGAAAGTAATTATGATATTTTATTAATTTTAATAATTTAATTGCACATTAATCAATTAAATGTTGATATGATAATATAAATTAACGAGAATAATATTAAAATATTAATTTAATGAATATTATATTATTATATTATTTAAAATTTATTATTAATTTTCTCTAAAATAAAATTTAAACTTGAATTGATATGCATATACACTTCTATTATTTTTGTAATATAATTGATTATAATTTTAACTATTTTAAAAAATCAATATAGAGTTGAATTAAAGCATGCATAGAAGGCTTCTTCAATGATTTAAGCTTAGTTTGGGACGTATTTTTTTTTATTGCTTTTTAAAGCAGCTTTTTAGTACAAAAAAATTAATTTTCGTACTAAAAAACTGCTTTAAGAAGCAATAAAAAAACTGTCTCAAATGAACCCTTAGTAAGTGACATAAAATATCATTGAGCATTATAAAAGCAAAGAAAATATATTATTGTCAAAGCAATGATTGAAGCCAAATTTTTAATACAAAATAGTCTATGAAAGATGTCATTTGAAGAATAACAATTAAAATAAGCACCAAACACTATAATGCAAAATATTTTTTAAAAATTTATTTCATCAAATTGCCTTTTAGTGTTGGCATGAAAATTATATTGGATAGTTTTTTAATATAAGTGATGGTGATTCAAGGTCGGAAGTTTGGCATATTTGTATTTGGATTGGACTAATTTTAATTTTGTTGGGTTTATCATATCAAGATGTTCAGTTTGACTATAAATTTGTTAAAATTGAAATTCAAATATCCCTAAATTTAACTTTGAAAGTTTCCAATCCAAATATGAATCAAGATTCGTGCTCTATCTAGACAATTTTCTATAACACATCACGAATATAGGACCAATGATACTGAGAACAAGATGAAAAATTAGGCAGTAGATTGGTCACCAGAGAACCTTTAGAGAACGGAGTCAACAACATAGATCACGTGGATGCTAACTCGAAGGGAGAAGAATGAGAGATTATAAGAGCTGAGTTGATCTTAAGCTTTATGGAGTATGGTTGGTTATCATCATCAAGATTTGAGTTAGAATTTTAGAATAATAATAATAATAATAATACAAAGCAAATATTGATTATTATTATTTTTAGTTTTGTTTGATAAACAATAGATATTGATTGCTCTTCACCTTCTTTAAAAAATCATATAAATTTACTAATCTTCACCCACTTAATTAATTACTCATGCCAGCATAATCTATGCAATTTACCACTAATTATCTCCCCTAATTGATTCTCACAATAATTAATCTTCTAATTTAATGGTGAAAGATTCGGTTTATCAAAGCCCGAGGCAAGCATTAACCATAAGCAACATTTTTATATAGCTTAAAATGACACCTCAATGATGTCATGAAGAACAAGTCCCTAAAAGTCTTAGTTTTAAATAGAATATACAAACAAATCAAAGCTATCCATCCTCCTTACTACTAATATAGGAAACATCCATTCCCCTTGCTCCCAATTGGAGTGTGTGCATTATTATAGTACTATTCATTGGTGCATTCAATGTGCTACCATTTTGTTTGTAGGTTGCATTTTAAGCATCACAATATCAATTTTTGTTTTTAATGTTCATAATCTTATACACCCATATGTGTTAGATTAGAATTGAATTTAAGAAGTTTTTGATTGAGAACTAATTTGAATCTCTTGCATCTCCGTCATTGTATATTTTGTGGTCATCCGAAGCCTAGCTAGATTTGCCTGTAACTTCATCTAGGGAAAATCGTTTAAGAGGAAGTTCTAACTCAACCTTTAGTACAAAGCTATTGAATCTGTCTATTTGAGAATATTTTTTCAAGGAATTTTTCATCTCGAGTAGAGTACCTGTCAATTGATAAGAGGTTCTCGTCAGAAGAATCTATTTAGGATACTAACCTCAATCTGAAACCTGCTCTCCATTCCTTTGATTAAAAGTTGGCCTTAGTTCAAATTTGCTCATTATATAACTAGTAATAATAAGTAAATTTTATTCAATTCTTATTAAATTATACCGTGTAATCAATCTTATAATGTCTGTCATTTATTCTTTTCTACAAATAGGGGTCATTAGTTAATCAACACCAAGGAAAATGTTACATGAAATACCTTTAGAATTTTTTATTAATTGTTTCTCTACAACTAAGCTTGATTCACCAGACTTTGTTTAAAAGAGTTCGATATAATCTCTTATAAATCAGTAAAAAAGTAGTCCCAAATGAAGCTTAATTCTCAACATAAATCATTAAGACTTTGTTCTCTCTTTCTCTAGTTTTTGTTCTCTAAGCTTGATTCACTTCACAAGTAAAACATGAATTACTCAAAATGCTACATAAAGTCATTGCATGTCTGAGTGACATAATGACTATATTTTATATAAAAAAAATAGAAAAAAACATTTAAAATAATAATTTATTTTATTTTATAAATAATGATGATGAATATTAATATATTAATATATTTATTGATATTTTTAAAATAAAAAATAAATTAAAAAATATATAAATAATATATGAAAAATTTAATATTAAATATGCAAACATGTAATATGTGTAAATATTTAATATTCGGCTATTTAATATAGTTCAGATGTAGGTGAATATTCATTATAAAAAATAGAAATTGTAAAAGTTTTATTAGTACAAAAACCAAAAGCTGTAAAAAGTGGACGTGCTTGTTTTGGTGAGCGGACATGGAAGAACCACGTAGCTCCAAGGATGCAGAATGCAGGGAGGAAGACGTGGAAAACTAAGCGGATGGCTCGGCGTCTTCTCCTCCTCATTTTGGCTACTAAACAACTTTTTCGGCCAATGGGATTTTGCAAATCAGGCGGCTCGGTTCCCTACTCTTCTTCTCCATTCTTTTCTCGGCGGAAAATAAAGAAAGCTTCATTTTTTCTGGTGGAAAATAAAAAGCGTAAGAGAAGCCTGCGGATTTGGGAGGCTGTGGAGCTTCGGTGATAAAAAGGAAGAAGAGGGCCACTTAAAAAAAATCATCTTGTTGTTTTCTTCTCTCTATTTTCTCCGGTTTAGCTGCCGCTCTTTATCGTTCTCTCTCTCTCTCTCTCTCTCTCTCTCTCTCTTCTTGGCCTCTGGGTTTGTTCGATTCATTGTGCGTCTAGTTTTGCCGGAAAGAGGGGAGCTTTCTGCATTTGGGTTTTGATGGAAAGCATCTAGCTTTGTTCTTCGCGTGTGAAAGATCAGATCTTGGCGTCACAAACCTCTTCAAATGCTTTCCTGTGCTCGGAGCGGCGATCCTTGAAGAGTAAAAGATTGGTTCTTGTCATTGGAAATGGTCGCATGGAGGTTTTCGAGAAGGAGTTTGATTAGAGGAGGTTCTTCGCCTCCAAGCCCTTGAAGGCCGCCTCAAGCAAATTAAAGCTTGGGGTAATTAGCTAGTTGGTGGCGGCATTTCTATGGAGGAGGAGGTGGAGGACGACGAGGATCTTAACCGATGCCGTGCTGATGAAAGATGTTTTGATCCCAAGTTGAAACCTGCCGGTCATGTTCATCAGAATTCCGGCGAGGTGAGTCTCAGGGAGTGGCTGGACAAGCCCAAGAGACCGGTGGACTTTGTAGAATGTCTTCATATATTCCGGCAGGTTGTCGAGGCGGTGAACCTCGCACATTCTCAGGGAGTTGTGGTTAACAACATTAGGCCATCTTGCTTTGTCTTGTCAGCACTTAACCGTGTTTCTTTCATTGAATCCGCTTCTTGTTCAGACACTTCATGTGGGGACGAAGAAGGTAGCTATGCTGCCGGAGCTGCCGTGGCTCCTGGTGATCAGATGACTTCAATGGAGTCTGTGGAGGGAAAGAGAGAATTGCATGTGGTGAGTGAGGCTGATGAGACCAGAGACTTTCCTCTCAAGAAAATATTGAGTATGGAGTTTACTTGGTATGCGAGCCCTGAAGAAGTCGAAGGAAGGCAAAGCTTATTTGCCTCTGATGTTTACAAATTAGGAGTTCTTCTTTTTGAGGTTAGGAATCAATTTTGTTTTATCTTTGGCTAAACCTTTGATTGTTTGATCTGTTAATTTTGGTTATTGGTTTTGGTCTGCTAGTTATTTTGCATGTTCGAAACTCTGGAAGAGAAGCTTAGCAAAATGTCTAACTTGAGAGACCGAGTTCTTCCTCCACAAATGCTACTCAAGTGGCCTAAGGAGGCTTCCTTTTGCTTGTGGCTTTTGCATCCACAGCCAAGTAGTAGGCCTACATTGAGGTTAGATTTTTTAAACTGTGATGATATTTTTTTGGGTATTATTGCTTTGGTTTAGCTCAACTGCTCAAATATTAAGTGATTTAAGCTATTTTTTTACCTAGATTTTCTGCTACTTATGTTTTCTTGAACAACATAAACAATTAACTTTTATGAAAGATGGAAACTAAGGCTTCGTTTGAGATAGATTTCTTGTTACTTTTTAAAGCAGCTTTTTAATTTTAGTATAAAAATTTTAATTTTTGTACTAGAAAACTGCTTTAAGAAGCAATAAAAAAGCCGTCCCAAACGAAGCCTAAATTTTTTTAGTAGCAGTTTATTTGGCTTTTCAAAAAGTGCTTTTTATGAATGCTAGTTTTTTTTTCCTTTAAAGAAATTAATATTTATTTAAATACTTATTTACTAATTAAGATTAATATATTATATTAAATTTTGATATAAGTTGTTCAAAATAATTTGAAAAGAGTTTAATGCCTCATGGAGCATTTAACAAAATGGGATGAAGTATGAGGATTCATAAAGTTGGTCCCAAATAGTTGGGATAAGGCTAATAAGGATAATGAGGATGGTGATGATGATGATATATGAAATTCATTATAATATTCTATTCAATAAACTTATTTCACTGTTATGACAAATTTTTACTAGAAAAACAAAATTCTTAGTACACTTTAAGCAACAAGCTAAACAATATGCTTAATATAATTTTATTATACAGTCATCTGCTTTACTAAACAATCCAACACTACAAAATTCAACAATGGCAAACAAAGCCTGAATTTCTTTAGGTTTTTTCAATTTTCAACATAATTTGTATGAATTCGGGTTCAATATTCAACAAGGTTTTACTTCAACACAATCCTAGTGTCCTTTTTTTTTTCCTTCATGCGTGGTTATAATAAGCGTAAGTGTATTCGACATTATTACCAAGTTATTGATAATTGTTTCTCAATTTTATTGTTTATGTGTCATTCTTTTTAATAATTGTTAAAATTTGGATATTTATTTAATAATTTAAGTTTATATATTTGCGTTTAACAAATCATTGATTAAATGAAATGTAAAATTCAATGATTTGATTAATAGACACATGTCGTCGAGGGTAAGGAGAACCTTTGCTTGGTTACTTAGATTTGCTTCGATGATTAATAATACATACAACCCTAGCATTAATAGAGTTCCTGCAATTTTTTAGAGGACATGAAAGCCTTCTATGTTTCCATCTTTTTGGAAGCAACGAGGCAATGTCTTTTTTTTTTTCATGAGTTGGAGAATAGTTTGTTTTATCTTTTATTCCGATATGTACAAAATTTATAAAATCTTAGAAGAGTATATAATAGAAAACATACAAAATCAGAGAATATAAATAACTGAAAATAATTAAAACAGTCTCACGGATTCGTGCGTTGACAACAAGAACTGCAGGAAAAACTCATATTATTGGCGGTCCATATCTGCCAGAAAATGATTAATTCCGCCATAAAATGTGCATCTCTGACGGATTTCCAGTGGAAATTTAGTCGACGGTAAAACGAGAGTTGAAAATTTTGTTTTGGTGGAATTATTCCGCTGGATATATTTTTGTTGGATTTACCGACGGAATTCTGGCAGAATTGTGCAGAAATATTCGTCCTTTGCGAAGCACTCTTCCCGTGTCTCAAACATCCAAGTTTTTTCTTAATATAAGCCAAATCTAATACCTTTACTTTCTTAACTGGGTTATCGGGAGGCCGCCGTTTTATGTGTCCAAACCATCTAAGGTGACTCTCTCACTCTCTCTAATATTATCTTCCATAGGAGCTTCTCCAACCTTTTCACATATATGCTTATTTCGTATCTTGTCTGTAAGAGTAAAGTCACTCATGAGCATTCTCATCCCTGCAAACACTTAACTTAATGTTATGCTTCTCTTTTAGTGACCAACATTTTATATCATAAAGCATTGCAGGTTTCACCATGTCTTATAGAATTTTCCCTTAAGTTTGAGGAGAATTTTCTATCACACAATAAACCCAATGTATTCCTCCACTTTAACCATCCAACTTGAATTCTACTAATATCATCCACATCTATTTTACCATCAACTCCATCTCTAGTATTATCAACAAGGAGAATATCATCAAAAAAATGCATACACCATGGTACAATATCTTGCAAATGTCTACCGAGATCATCCATGACCAAAGCAAAAAGAAATTGGCTAATAGCAGAACAACATATGGCGGTGCCGGCGACCAAGGCGGCGAACAATGGCGACGAAGTGGTGTACACAAAGGCGGTGGACACGGCGTTCGACGGGAGGCAACTCACGTGGTCGAGAGCGAAGCAAGAATGAAATGAGTAGGAAGACAATCATGAATAGTGCCGGGAGGAAAATAGGGCCTTTTCCGGCTATAATGCCGGTGGATTTTTTGGCGAAAATGTTTCCGGCGACATTTTTGCTAGAAATATTTTGTCGTGTTTAAGTAAGCCGACAAGTTTTTCACAAGAAATTTTCAGTGTATTTTTCGACAGAAGTTACCATCAATTTTATAAAAACCGGTGAAATTGCCAGCGAGTTTTCTGCTTGAAAATTGCCAGCAGTTTTTTTGCCAAAAAATTGCCTGCGGGTTTTCCACCTAAAAATTGTTAGCGGTTTATCCGTCAGAAAACCCGCCGGTAAGTGACTAGTGGAATATCTGTCGATTACATTGCCGCTACTACTGGCGGATATAATTACGTTGGAAATTCCACTGGTATAGCCATTTTTTTCTTGTAGTGAAGTATCTCATGGATCCATAAGATGACAACATTAAGGGGCTGTTTGGTATCAGATTTATCGTCGGATTTAAGTCGGATTTATGCTAAATCCAACCAAACGGTTTTACAACGTGCGTTAAATCCCGGGATTCAATAAATTCCGGATTTACGACTTAAATCTCGGATTTAGTAAATCCCTCGGTTTGGTGGATTTAACGGGATTTAAAGAATGGCGAAAGACTTACCCGTGGCGCCCATGTCGCTGAAGCTCAACAGTCGCCGAAGAAGCGCGCGAAAGGGAGAACCTCCACAGCCACCAAGCTCCCGTTGTTTCTTCCGATCAAAATGTCGTAACTTCCGACCCGACAGGAAGGGAAAGTCGTCGCCACGAAGGAACCGAAGTAGCGACGCGCGCAATCTCTACACCTCCTGCTAAGCAACAAAGCCGAACAACAACAACGAAAAGAAAAGATGAAAGGCAAACCCTAGACGCCTCAAAGTTATTATTGATTAACTTAATTAATATTAAATAATTAATAATGCAATTAATTAATTAAATAATTAATGCATAAATTAATTATCTAATTTAACTTAATTGACTAATTAATGATATACTTAGTAATTAAATATTAATATAATTTTCTTATTTAATATTTCAACTGTCATTTTGGTCCATATTAGTTTGTATTTGCTTTTTATTGAATTTTCGGTCATTTTATATGAACTAAAATTGGTTTTATTATGTTTTATGCAATGATCTTGATTTCATAAATATTTCCTTTAAACTTAAATCCCTAACCGCCATAAATCCTAATATATGTTACCAAACAGTTTCTTAGGATTTAACAAGATTTAACATTTAGCATACCAAACAGTTATCAGGATTTAACACATTTCGGATTTACTAAATCCGGATTTACAGGATTTATTAAATCCCACTAAAGTTAAATCCCACTTCAAACAACCCCTAAGGAAGGAAGAGGGTTGAAGTTTGGATTGAAGTTAGGGATCCATGAGGTAGTGGCATCAAGAAAGGAAGAGGGTGGAAGTCAAGGCAAAAATAAAGAGTTGTTTACATATTCTCCCTCAAGAAAATAAATGGATGTCTTTCATTCCATGTTTGCCATATAATTTTTGAAGGTCTGCCCTTGATATTCCCATGGTGAATATGTTGGCAAGTTATTCACATGTGGTTATAAGCGAGATAAATATTAGACCGGGTGTAAATGTAGCAATCAGGCGCGCACTTCAAAGCTTGTCTCAACACAATTTTAAAAAAGTCAATGAGGTGTATGCCTCACATTTGCCAGATGGGGCTGACACCTCAGTTGGAGTGAGATATGCCTCATGTTGACCACTAACCCCCCATAAACCAAGCCAAACTTGAGAAAATTGCATGACCTCAAATGTCTAGCCACATGCCGGAAAACCCTTACACTGGCACCCTTTCTTGTTATGTTGCCATTGTAGCTTCACCGCCGTTGCTTCTCCTCCAACACCTCTCCTCTTGGTGTTGAAAACCTATTTTCTTTGTTTCAATATGAGAGGGGAGAGAAAGTAATTGATTATAACGATTATTTTAATAAAGATCCTCTATGAGAATAGAATAGGGAAATTTTAAAGTCACAATTATGACATTAGACTACTTATTTATTTTGAACCGGTAGTGATAGAGGTTATTTATTTAGCATTGATTGTAGCCTTATATTGACTTTGAATACTCTTATTGGAATAATTTACTTTGATGTTAATATTCTACTTATCATTTCATGTTTTTCATTAATTTAATAATTTAATTCAAAGGTTTACGTTTCAAAACACCTTGAGGCTTACGCCTCGTCTCATGGAAAGAATATGGCTCAATACCTGATGGCACAATTTCAAACCTTGGATTAGACCATTGTTAAGCATATCCTTTGTAAAATTTGTATGAACTTTAATATGCTATGTATGATTATGTTTCATGGGATTATATGCAATATTGATAGCTGTCTTATTATCATAATAGAGCTTCATAGGACATTTTATTCAAACTTCAAATCCTTTAGGATAATATTTAGTCATAATGGAGCACAGATTCTCAATGTCATATATCTAATTTCGGCTTCTGTGCAAGATGTTTTTATCATATTTATTTTTTATTTCTTCCTATCACGAGATTGCTTCTTAAAAATATGTAATATCCTGAAATTGATCTTGTCTATCATAAAACTTGCATAATCTTTATCTTTTAATGCCTCAAGAGTGAATTCTTCCCATTTTTT